AAGCATTCTTTCTGAAAAAACTGCTAAACTGGCTGATCTCTGTAGTTGCTTCTGCCAACACAGTTGTCCAAACCTTTAGACAATTTATGTCTTTAGTAATAATTACTGTAAGTTCATGCCTTCATTATGATACTACATGCACTGCTTTCATTTTATGTTCAGAGTTCAGTGGGTGAAAATGAATTGGGAGAAATCATAATGGTAGTAGATTTTTATACATACACTCTGTGTTTTTTATGAGAACTATACACCTCATCTCATTTAACCGCCCCTATTTTGTAAATTAAGTTTAAATAGGGCAGCAAGCATTAGACAAAATGTTTAAAATGCCAGTTAGGATGCCGGCATACCATATTCGAGTGCCAAAGTTCAACTCTTGGCTCCACTTCCAATTCTAACACTCTGGGAGGTAGAACGTGATGGATCAAGGATGTGTAGTTTTGTCTCCTATGTGGGAGACTTGGACTGAATTCTAGATTCTTGTTATTGGTTTAATCCCTAGTCTCTGCTGCTGCTCTGGGCACTTATGGACATAAACTAGTCAATGGGAAATCTTTTTCTCTCTTTATACTATCTCTCCCTTTGAAGCCAGTATGAACAAGTAAATAAATAAAATTCTGAAAATCACACATTAAAGACAACTGACCTAAAGAATTCTAGAGTTCCCAAACAGGGTGGTCCACTCTATGTCCTCCAGATAGATGCTAAACACTAAAGGCAATCAGAGGAATTCAGCAGTGAGATAGGAGGTAGAGCAGAATTAAGGTTACTTTTTTCTTACTACTTTAGCATCCCCCCCCCCAAAAAAAAACTTGCTCATATGTAGAAGGTATCGAGGTGTTTTGTTTTGTTTTCGTTTTTGCCTTTTTAAAGGTCTATTTATTTTTATTGTAAAGGCAAATCAGATTTACAGAGAGAAAAATATTTCATATACTGATTCACTCCACAAGTGGCCACAATAACTGGAGCTGAGCAAATTGAAACCATCCAGGAGCTTCATCTGGATCTCCCATGGAGGTGTAGGGACCCAAGGCTTTGGGCCATGCTCAACTGCTTTCCCAGGCCACAAGCAGAGAGCTGGATGGGAAGTGGAACAGCCAAGACACAAACCAGTGCCCACATGGTCCTCACTTTTTTTAAGAATTATTTTTGAACTCATATTTAGTCCCTAGTCATTTATCTCAGCCTTTACTTACGTTTAGCATGTCTTCCACTTTATGAAGAAGTGCTTGAAATAGGCATGTTAATTACACACACAGTTTTCTTTGACAGTGAGAATTTGGAAACATATGCATGTGGAGTATCTAAAATTTCTTCACATTATTTTTTTCAGAACTCACACTAGTTGAAAGTTTCTCAACATGAAATGTCCTCAATTTGTTCTCACTCAGGATGTTACAAGGCAGTTGAGTGAAACCTCACCTAATTGGGTGTTGTCTAGAATGTGATTATCTTCAGCTGCCTGTAATTTAGAAGTTATTGCAGTAAATGCTCTTCTTTACTAACTCCCTTGGCAATTTAATTTTTCAAAAACAGAAAAAATTTTACTAAAATACATCAGGGTGAAGATATAATTATGTTTATATCCAAAGAAGGGAGAAAGCAGAATTTAAATGATCTGATATTTAGATTACAAAAAAAAATTTTCATGAGGATTTTGTAATTCACCTAAGTTATATTTTCTGTAACCTACATGTGCCTACTTTCACAACACCTTTGAATTTTCAAACATCCAAATCTATAGAATTAGGTAATTGTTGCATCAAATTGCATGTGTAATGAAAGACTTTGTGTTTTTTTGTTTGTTTGTTTGTTTGTTTGTTTGTTTGTTTTTTGCTGTGGGAAACATATACTGTGATTTTATTGCAGCAGTTTTAGTTCAAAGGACCTTCATTTGCCCAGTGTTGAGCACCCTGTATGCTCTGCACCTAAATATTGCTGAGTAGGTCAATAAGTAATAAGGTATGATTACCAGTAGGTTTCAACCTGGAGAGCCAGTATGGCCAATAAGATGTGAACTATCCCATTTCACCTCTATTCTGTGAGAGCTCAGAATCATGCTTCTCCACCAGGAAACAAACAAAACAGAAACAGTTCAAGTTCCAAGCCTCTCAACTTCCTCTCTGAGTTGGATCAACTCTTTTTACCTTTCTATCTCAGTTATTCAGCTTTTCATGGTTGACAGAAATATCTGCCCTTCAGTAGATGCTTACACCTGCCCTGAGTGACGAAGGGTTAGGACTGCAGGGAGTCATCAGGTAAAGAGAAAAGACAAGCGGCACTCATTCACTGTGGTACTCACAATGTTCTCCTGACCTCTTGAACTTCCTGGTGTATCTACTTCTCTCCCTTCTCCTCTTTGCAGAAATCCCATCTCTCTACTTCTGCTCACTAGTTCCTTCAAGGCCATAAAAGCACTTCTACTAAAACATAGTTGTAGTAGCCCCTGATTGGCCACAAACCCTTTGTTTTTCAGAGACTAACATTATGCCTGAGTTTGCTTCTTGGGTGATTTCCAACACTGCATCATCAAGTAGTTCTTTGGTGACTTCCAAAACCACAGTTTCCTGATATCCCCACAAAGAAACTGGACTCGAGTAAACTGAGGCAATATGTTGATTAAGTTTTTTTTTCATTTCTTGAATAATTATGATTAGTAACTGTCCTATTTATAAGGATTCCTAGAATTATCCATTAGGAGTGGTGGCCATGGCAGAGGTAGGGCTCTAATGGAGATAAGCATCTGGATGTTTGAACCTAAAATGATGTTTTCTGTGGTGAAAGGGGAATAACAGAGTTAGGCGTGGGCTTTTTGCTTGACCTGGGTGTAGCATATGACATTTACTCTCATGAATCTGGAACAATATACTAGATTAGGGAAGCAGTGTTGAAAGCCAGCATTTGAAATAACACTTGCTATTCTTTATTTTTCCCTCATGTGCGCTGTTGTGTGTCTACAAAACAGTAGATCACTTTGGAAGGTATGTACCTATAGTTTGAGTAACTGTTTTAAATCTTTTGAAGATGGAATGTGGTGTATTGGAAATTAGTATAATACTTAATAGGCTCAAGCAAATATCTCCTGTGTGGCAGGTATTATGTTAGGTACCATGGGTTAAAAATCTCTAACTCAGGTAAGGGCAGTTACCACACAAATAAATGAAATATAGTGTGAGATGCAGTCTAACCAATAGTTTGCAGGAAGCTATGAAAGAAGAGAGCGACAGAGGGAATCATGAAAGGCTTCACACAGTAAGTGATTTTGTTGGTGAGTTAAGACAGAAAAGTCTGCATTTGAGGAGTTGTATGTGAACTAATGTGGCTAGTGTGTACACTTAGAATTAGTTGAGAGGAGAGCACTCACTTGGTAGGTACAAATTGCTTGAAAAGGGCCTTAAACATCCCAGAGGGAACGTTAATTTACAAAAGACAATGAGGGTCCATTTAAACACTCAAGCATGGGGTGGGCTTTGTGACACAGTAGGTAAAACTGTCACGTGGGATACCCACACTGATATCATTTCCTCTGTTGGAATGTGTGGATTCTTGACCTGCCCCTTATCCCAATCTAGCTTATTGTTTGAGTGTATCCTGGGAAACAGCGAATGGTGGCTCAGGTACTTGGGCCCTGACTTCCTGGTTCCTAACTTTGGCTTGACCCAATCTTGCTTGCTGAGGGCATTTGGAGAGTGAACCAGGAGGTGAAAGAGCACTCTCCCTCCCCAAATCTGTCACACTACCTTTCCAGTAAATAAAAAACTTAAAACCCTTCAAGTAGGGGAAATGTTCCTTTTGATTTGGGACTAGACATATTTTTCTAGGCTCTGAGTGGAGAATGGATTAGAAGGTAGAAGGGGGCCCGGCAGCGTGGCCTTGCGGCTAAAGTCCTCTCCTTGAACGCACCCCCGGGATCCCATATGGATGCCAGTTCTAATCCCGGCAGCTCCACTTCCCATCCAGCTCCCTGCTTGTGGCCTGGGAAAGCAGGCAAGGATGGCCCAATGCTTTGGGACCCTGCACCTGTGTGGGAGACCTGGAGGAAGTTCCTGGCTCCTGGCTTCGGATTGGCACAGCACCGGCCGTTGCGGCTCACTTGGGGAGCGAATCATCAGATGGAAGATCTTCCTCTCTGTCTCTCCTCCTCTCTGTACATCTGACTTTGTAATAAAAATAAATAAACATTAAAAAAAAGAAGGTGGAAGGACAGTTGAAAACATGTAGAAAAATGCAACACATGATAGCATGAAGTTCCAAAGCCGGATGGTAACTAAGGAATAGATAGAAGGCAAAAACTATGGAAACATTACTGCAGGTAGAATCATTGAACTGGCATAGTTGTTAGATTTACGTGAGGCTGAAAGTGAGATGAAGAGAAAAAGTTTCTGCTGTGAAGACTAGTAAAAAGGCTGGGAATTTTAAGAGGAGAGTAAATTTGTAGAAAAAATAATACTGTCATGTGAAGTCTCTTAAACAGCATAGATCTGGGCAAAGGTGTGGAGGCTAGTATCAATTTTGGAATCACATAAAAATAAAAACACGAAAACTGACTATAAAACCTCATGTGAAAAATTTTGTTGGGCCAGCATGATGGTTCAGTGGCTATATCCTCACCTTGCACACCCTGACATCTCATGTGGACACTGGTTCGTGTCGCAGCAGCTCTACTTTCCTTCCAGATCCCTGCTGTGGCCTGGGAAGGCAGTAGAGGATGGTCCAAAGCCTTTAGACCTTGTACCTGCATGTGATGTCCAGAAGAAGCTCCTGGTTCCTGGTTTCAGATCAGCTAAGCTCTGGCAGTTGCAGCCACTTGTGGAGTGAACCAGTGGATGGAAGATCTTTTTCTCTGTCTGTCTATCTCTCTCTCTGTAAATCTGCCTTTGTAATGAAAATAAATCAAGGAAAAGAAAGGAAAAGAAAGGAAAGGAAAGGAAGGGAAGGGAAGAGAAGGGAAGGGAAAACTTCTGTAACAATCTAATATTAAGAAAAAGTAGTCTGGAAAATGGCATACACATAGTGCTTTTTATTATTAACAAATATTTACACTTGAAGACAGTATCTATACAATTATTAAAATCAGTTTTTCTGAATAAGAATGACAGTATTTGATCAACAATACATTATATTGGATAACATAGTAAAGAATATCAGCAAAAATATTTGCTGAAGATTAGGATACAGTATCTCTGGTATTAACTTCTTTTCCTGTAAGTACAAAATGAGTATAGATGTAATTTCGGGCAAATTAACTCAACAGAAACACCTTCTACCACTAATCATTCAATTATATGTATAAATTCAAAATTAAGGAAATAAGGAGGGATTTCTTTGCTAATGTTATGATTTTGCACTTGTGAAATAAAATCAAATAAGGTATGTATCACACAGTCAAACATTTACACTCTACTTTTCCTAATAGGTGTGTAAAATAGGAACTTACAGAATTTAAAATATAAATATATACATTTTATTTACAATAAATGGGACAATTAGAGATGTAAGCTTGTATGTACAACCACTCAGATTAAAATAATTTAACTTTAGGTAGTAATTACCAATAGTTCTCTTTTTCTCCTACTTGGCCTTTTGACAGAGAAGTTAAAATGTAATGTATTGTAGCCAAATTGTTAGGATGTATATTTAGATGGTTGGCTCCTTGATGCTAATCTTCTGGACCATCTCAGGCAGATTTTCAGACTCCAGCTCTTCTTTGCCGTTATCTGAATTTCCTGAAGAAATATAACAACCAGAGTCCCGTGGGCAGTCATCTAACTGTGACTTACTTAAGGACATGTCGGAGCCTAAGGATGTGGGCACTGGAGTATTTTCTTGCTCTTGAATAGCTGTGGATAGAAAACAGAGCAGGAGTTAAAGCCAAACCGAAAAAAAAAAAAAACACCTTTTTTTCTTGCATTTACTCATTCACTTTGAAGCACTCTCCTATTTTAGTTGTTATAATCTTGACTTCACTAAGAGGAAATTTATATATGTAAAATGTATTTTTATTATAAAAGACATATTAGCCCTACAGATATAAAAGCCACTATTTTCTCAACAAAGTTTGCTCTTCTTTGTTCACTTGCAGTTTCATGGAATTCATGTGAAACTCCTGTGACCAATACAAACTCGAATTTAACACTAGTAACTTGCACAAAATGCAAACTGCACCCACAGTGTGACTAATCTCTTGCCCAAATACTACTTAAAGTGTCATTTTAAAACAACATGCCTCTGAATGATCAATGAGTCACTGAAGAAATTAAAAATGAAATAAATTCTTGAAATAAAGAAAAATGAGCAATATGTCAAAACATGTGGGAGACAGCAAAAATGGTATTTAGAGGGAAGGTGGAGCTTACATAAAAAAAGAGAAAGTTTTAAACAAAATATCAAATGCTGTTTCTTAAAGAATTGAGGAAACAAGAGCAAACTAAACCCCAAGCCAGCAGGAGGCAAGAAATAATAAGGATCAGAACATAAAGAATTTAATTGAAAAAACTACAAATAACAAAATGCTGTACTTTTCAGAGGTGAAACAAAAATAGATGAACCTATGGCCAGACTAACAACATAAAAAAAACCTTAAATACACAAAGTTAGAAGTAAATGAAGAGATAATATAACCAACATCACTGAAATACAAAGAACATACATAGAATACAAAGAATACAAAACACAAAGAATCATATATAGAATACTATGAAAACTGCATGCTAATAAACTAGAATATCTTGAGGAAATTGATAAATGTATGGACACATAACCCATGAAGATTAAATCAATAATATATAGACAATCTTTACTGAGTCATAAAAACAAGGATTTTGAAACAAAAAAGTCTCCATCAAGGAAGTGTATACTACTGAAGTCTAGAAAACATTTAAGAGAAACTAACTCCAATATTCTTGAAATGTTTCCAAAGTGCTGAACAGGGTGAAACTCTGCCATGTTCTTTGTCTGATGCCAGCATCACTCTGATATCTAAACAAAGACAGAACTCAAAAGAAAACTACAGAACTGTATCTCTGAACAACAAACACGCAGATAGTTTCAATGAAATACTAAAAAATCAAATTGAAAAACGACGTAAAAGTTCATACTTCTCAGTCAAGTGGTATTTATCCAAAATCTGAATTTCAAGAAGCAGCTGGGGACTCAAAAACTAGCAGTCCAGTGGGATGGTGGTTGTTTTTTTTTTTTTTTTTTCTTTTTTTTTGCTGGTTACACCAGAATCCTGGTCCCTGGTTGATCTCAATTTGGTGGGGAATTAAGCCCTTTATTGCAATGTAAATTAAATGTGCTATCTCAAAAACTAAACAAAAGGAAAGAAAGGAAGAAAAAGAAAGAAGAGTCAAGGAGAAAACGAAAGAAAATGGGAGGGGAAAGGGAAGGAAGAAGGGAAAGAAAATTATTTTATTATTAGTGTATTTATGAACTATATCATAAAACCAAAAATTAACAAATGATAAAAAGAAAGTGAATAAATAAAGTCTGAAAAATGCATTATGATTTAAATATACAGGCTAATTCAAGAATTCAGATAACCTGGCTTAACAAAGATCACAAAGGGCAATCACGTACATTAAGGTTTCAGTTACTGGGGTTTAACGAACAAAACTTTAAATATCTGAGATTTTTCTGTCTCTATTCATGAGAAAAGTAAACATAAAAAACTAGGTTGCGTTCAGAGGGGAAAACACCAAAGAAATGAAATCCGCCCTCTTCACTAGCTTGTCATCCATATCTGTGTAGTTTTAAACAACAATCATCTGTGTTCACATTGAATACTTTGTCTTTAAAAGCAGGGCTCCATCTTTAACAGACATGATCTTTTAGAAAAAAGAATTAATATTAATAGTAGAACTGTAACACAGATAGCTCTAAAGAGTTTAGCGGACGAAGATTCCTCTTAGTGTCAGCTTCCTCTTGGCAAATGCATTTATCGCCTTCCTGGACACCAGTGGATGTTGTTCTGCGTCATAAACTGAGCATGTCAGCACAGTTATGGATCTCAGTCTACCACCTCTATCTAGGCTGTGTCCGGGTGCCTTGTCTATTACCTGTAATCGCAGGGCATTCTTTCTTAAGCCATTTCAGTAGCCCCATTGGAAGAACTAAGCACATACATTTAAGCTAGAAAAAACAATTCTGACTTCCCATTCCAGTGAGGAGAAAATAGATCTGAACTTCAAGATCGGGGGGGGGGGGAGAAGGAAATTATGCAATTTCATTCAATAGGTTACCATGCAAATTAATTTATCCTTAGGAGATCCACTTTTCATCATATATATATATATATGATATATACGTATATATATTTGAGAAAAATAAGTCAAATGGATAAGAGTTGGGGAGGAGGAACTCAAGCTATTCCTACTGGCAGATGACATGATCCTGTATATATGGAAACCAGACAACTTTACTAAAACTTGGAACTAATAAGAGTTTAAAATTTTCAGATCGTACTAATGTTGGTTAAGGGTTCCCTGGGTGTCCAATTATCACCAACCTTTCTTACAGCCTGACATGAGCCCTGGTGCCCCAGGGCACCTTTATAAGTAGTGAATTAACCTCTGTTTTTAAATGGTACTACTTAGGTGCCATCATGTGAGAAGTGAGAAGTTATCAATACATACTCCACAGTCTGATTTCAAATAGAGAAGACTGGTTCAGAAAAGCTGGAAAAATTATTAAAATTTGCTTCTTGGTCTACTCATCTTTAACGAGTCCTAGCACTTGTTTCAATCTTTTCCTCAAGGCTTTTCTTTGCAACAGTAAAACCACGTCTATACCATCCTTTTGAATCATCTCCACATGTATGGCAATTGTATTTAACCATGGATTTGAAATTCATGTATTCAAGTGTAGTGATGTTATAACCAGTTCTAAGTAAAAGTAAGGTTAATTGTAATACATATTGTGCAGTTATTTTTTTTCACTTTAGCTACTGTGAAACATTTTCTATTTTGTAGTCACAGTTTTGGGGACTTCACTTACTGTTCAGTAGTCTTTATGAATATGATTTATTTTTGTTTCTGAACTTTTTTTTATGGAAAAGCAATGCTGAAGTGCGCCCTCACTATCTGAAGAATGCCTTTCTGTCCCGCTTCATCTCTTCTGTTTCATAGCCACTGAAATGAAAGGATCCAATGCTGTGTTCCGATATCTTAGTATTTCTTGAATTTTCCAGATGTGTAAGTCTTATTATATACATCCCTTCACATCGGCAGTGACCAAAACTGACCCATGTAAATATTATGGTTGTGACATTTGAGCCCTTTTCCTAGTGTATAAGTTAAAATTGGACCAATTCCGTTGATTGATACTTTACAAGACTTGGTGTAATGAACCCTGCTCAGTCATAATATTCAGTTCTCTTTGGGTTGGTTCCCATGCATGGAACTCTCCCAAGAAGGAAAACATGGGCTTAAGACTTCTGATTTCCCAAATCAATTGCTTTTTTTTCAAAAATATGTATCTGCCTTTTTTGTTTCATTTTGTTTGGATCTGGGGCCTCCATACACTAACCTCAAAGAGAAGTGAGGTAAACAAGTGAAACACTAGCCTTATCAGAGAATATGCCATTGGTTAATGCTAGCAATAAAAAACATATCTGCTTTTATTTCCCATTAAGAAATGCTATATCACATTCCCTCAATTCTAGGAATTGGCTTGTTTTAAACATAGGCTATCTAGTATAGAAAGCTTTCTTTGGCAACTTTTATGGAAAAGGGAAATAGTTTCTCAGTATGAAAGTGAGGCAGCACAGTAAATTACGGAACAGTGGTAATTTGCTAAACGATTTCCTGGTGAAATGAAAATATGACTATGCCTCCTCAACTGCTTCCCACCAGGCTTGCAATAATTTCAGGCAGGTGATCAGTTGGAACCCTCAACAGTAACTATAAAAAGAAAAGACAAGGCATTGTGTTCGATAATGGAGATGAAAGTTTTTTAGCATTCAATTTTTATGTTGGAGGGTCAACAATTCCTCATCTTACTGCTTTTCATCATTATACTAATGACAAAGAGTGACAGATACCTGGGTTTTATGATACAGTTGTTTCTTCCTGCTGTGGGGATGAATTCACACTAATGCATTCACATTTTTCTCTAAGTCATTTAGTTTCTTCATGTAGCCGTGAAACACACACACAAAAAACCTATCAGGTCTACACAGAAATTGAAATCATAACCTTCTTCAGTTTTGTCCTGTGATCCAATCATTTGAGCTAAGCAGGAAGGAACACAGTGGAATAGAAAGTAGCTTACCTCCAAAATGACTGAATTCCCATAGGATATCAGAATGCATCTTTTATGTCAAAATATTTCTAATAGCATAATTTTTAAAAATAGGTGATTAATAGATTTTACACAAGTAATTATTTTAAAGATATAGGCCTATGAATATATAATTTTTAAAAAATCAAAGTGTTCAAATTTAAGAAAGATTTTACCCTGTGTTTTCTCAGATTTTGTACAATTTTTTATGTTTTATTTTCTAGATGAACAAATTAAAATATCATAATTTTTCAAAAGGCAATGAATTTTAAAATCTGAATATGTTGAAGAATTCTGAAATAATTTGAAAAATAATCTTTCTTATTTCTGCCAGTTAACAGCATGCTTAACAGGACCTCATCAAAGCAACACAGTTCTGTACTTCACATAATGAAAATAAAACAATCACACTAACAAAAATTACTTAGGAAAATTTTTATCTAGAAGGACTAATTTGAGTAATATTTCTGTTTCCTACCCAAATGTTATGGAATTCTATAAAGCCCATGCATCAACATTTTGAGATGGTTACCAATATTAAAAATAAGTGGTGTGTAAGACA